GACATATATGAAGTTACTTTTTTTTTATGAGAAATGATGTGAAAAAAGCCTTCCTTCCGTGGGAGATTAACCAACTTATGATTGTCCACAATATTTTATGACTTATTTTTTCAAAATGAAATATTTTTTTAATATGTAATATTATTAAATATAAATATTTATTGTCAAAATCAGCTTTTTCATTTACTTTATGGCAATTGCGTCTTGAATTTTTTAGTTTACTCACACGACATGAATTTTTCTAAAATTATTATGCATTTTTCACTATTTTTTATTTTTTATTTTTGTATAAAATAATAACTATGAGAGAAATATGCGTCATAACAAATATCGAGTAATAATCGCAGAGTACGAATTTATCAAAAATAAAATTTCAAATATATTACTATGCGATTAATTATGCGTCTTCCCATCGGTAAAGGAAGAAGGAGATTAGCCTAATAATCGTATAAATTAATAAAAAAAAATATCTAAAATAAATTGGTCTGCAACTAAAATGCGACAGACCCACGATTAACTGAATTATTTACCCAGATCTCTGCATATACGTCGCCTATAAGTCATATAGTTTGTCGCATAATGTTTACATATTTGCTCAATTATTTTCTCATTTCTGTCACATAGTTTGTTGCATATTTATTTCTCACTTGCTCAACTAACTTCGTCTGCCTATCGCGTAGCATATCGCATATTGTTTTAACAATTTCTTTATTAACTCGCAGCATTGTTGCATACTTTATCGAATATGTATCTCGCATTACGCTCAATTATCTTCCCACATATGCCTCATAGTGTATCGCATAAATAATTAGCACTTGTCTAGTTATCTTCGTCTGTCTGTCGCATAATTATCGCATAAATAATTCGCACTTGGCTAATAATCTCTGTCTATCTGTCGCATAGTTTATTGCATAATATGTTTCGCACTTTATCAAATAGCTTCGCATTTCTGTTTCATAGTTTATCGCGTAATTTATTCTCACTTAGTGGGGTGAAAATGTTAAGTTTTTGCTTTAGAACGGGGTAAAAATAGATATTTTCTCTTATACTTATATATGAATGAATCTATCATTTTAGGCTTGGTATTGGTAAGGAGATATTGATTAAGGTGTAGAAATTAATTAGTTAGGTTGGAGGCTGGAGGAATGATAGCGTTAGGGCCGTGGGGAGGTCCAGATGGGAGGCCTTGGAGTTTCCGGACAAGAGGAGGCGACGGCATTAGCAGCATCACCATTCACATATTTCAGACAATTCGCTCCATTTCTTTCACAGATTCCTCTGGCGCCATTTCCGGGACTTTTGGTGGCGTCAATCATACTGGCCCGGGACAACAAACCTTAACAGTATCGAATTAATACCTTTACTACTTTTAGTACTACTCATTACATTGATTATATTCTTTTGAAAAAAAAAAAAAACACACATACACACATACCCACACACACACACAAAGTATAATAAATATAATTATCTTCATGAATGTAGGTTAACATCAATTGGCCATCAGAGTACCTTAAATACATAAGCATAGGGATATCAGAGTTCCAAGGCAAAAAAGTAATTAGATATATATCATTTGGTACAAATATGACAACTCATGGACCATTTGGATGGTGGGAAACTCATCCCATAACTATTCCTATTGGAGATAACATTGTGGTCGGCTTCCATGGCCGATCGGACGGCCAACTACTTGATGCCCTTGGTGTCTTTGTGCGACCGGTAACACATATACATATATACTAATTAATTAATAAAATCTTTGCTATATTTTCTGTTAGCTATACATTTGATTGGTGCAGGTACACCCGGAGAGAATCATTAGATTGGGGCCATGGCCTGGATTTGTAAACCAACAATTATATCAGCAACCTTTTGACTTTAAGGTGGCAACTTGTATCAAAGAGATAACAGTTCAGACGCAGAATACGCGCCTCATAGCACTCGCCTTTAGAGACGCCAATGGCCGCCAGTACGGGAAATTCGGAGGCAACACTTATGACAGTGAAGCAAAAGTGAGTTGATTAATTAGTACTCCCTCCTATTTTTATTATTTGTCACTCTAATTTAATCGATCATTGATTGTTCATATTTTTTCATTTTTAACCCTCCATCTAATATACAGTGTCTCTTCATATCTCATCTCCATCGTTTTTATAACATTCATTAAATAAGGTTAATATTGACAAGAAAAAAATTATTAATTAGTGTATCGCTTCTTAAAAAAGACAAATAATAAAAATAGAAAGGAGTAATGTATTTGTAAATGTGATATAGGGGTAATTAACTAAAAATTAATTAATGCCCGCAGTAATTAATTTGTATACAGATTGAGATTAATGAGCCTTTGGAGCATCTGATATCATTAAGCGGGAGCACAAGCGGCGTTAATGGCTATCTCGGGTCAATAACCTTCATAACGAACCTAACAAGATACGGACCGTTTGGGGAAACTTTGGGTGATGATGATTTATTCGACATACCAATAAACGGTGCTACTGTCAACGGATTCCACGGTACGGCGGGTGAAAACGGTGTTGGTCAAATCGGATTACATGCCAAGGAGGCAAGTTAATTAATTGATTAATTAGTTACGCATACGCTACTCTCATAATTAATTATTAATTAATTACTGATTAATTAAACCAGATAAGTAGAGAAGATACGACCATATCTTTAGGCCCGTGGGGTGGTTCGGGCGGGAATTCGTGGACTTACAAGGCGGCAAATGGAGGAGGCATAAACCAAGTGTTGATGAATGTTGGGCGAAACATCAGATCCATAGCTTTCAGGGACAATACCGGCATTGTTTCACATCCATTTGGGTTATTCAACAATGATGATGATATGGAAATTGTATTAATTGTACCTACNTCATTTCTCCATCCCTATGCAAAATAATACTATAGTTGGATTTCATGGCAGGGCATCCAACCAATATCTCAATGCCATTGGCATCTTTGTCAAACAACAAATCACACTCTAGCTACTTATTAAATATAATCAATAATTTCCTTATTTTTTTTTTTTCTTAAATTAAGACCAAATTTTGAAAGTGGTCGATCTAGTCTCATACAAACAGAGATCCTATATCATCATTGTATGCTTGTTTAAATGATCTGCTAAGTAAAGAGCGGCACTTTCTTAATTTCTTATGAAATTAGGACCAGACTAATTTGAAGATGGTCTATCCTATAATAAACCCAATTGGTCCCAACATGTGCCAATTTCTTTGTTTTAGTAATAATAGTAATATTTATCATGCACGATGCAAAAAATAAAAAATAAAAAAAAATTATAAGTTATTTATTTGTGTATACTATTATTTAAAATCATAAGTTGAATAATGCATATCACATTTTATAATTTTTATAATTAATAAAAATAAATGATATAAATATAAACTATTTAATTTATATATAAATCATGTTGGTTGGTATATCAAAATCTTCGTTTTAGTTAAATCAAATTCTAATTTTGAATTAGAATCGAAATTAGTCGAAAGTTTTTGCATTTATATTTCGAATATGGCAATGCAAACTTTGTCATGTTATTTAGAATATTTATTGTGGCTTCCTTGTGCAATATAAAAAAACGGTTCATAACTAAGATAGTGATGGACAAACCTATCGGTATTGTTATAGTATACTTTGAGTTGGTTTATCTTAATTGATGAATTATATTAGTACAATTTGTGTGTATTGATCGGACTCATGATGAGAAGTTTACTTTATAATGACTCAGTAAATAAGCTAGACCTCATGATAGCGGTCGTACTCTTAAGCCATCTGGTACTAACGGGCACAAGGATTGATGTGGCACTCAGAATAGCTTGGTAGCTCGGTCAGAACAGATAGTTCCTCTTGACCAGTCTGGGAGAGCTCCAACTTGTCCAGAAGCAAGTTATCCAATCAAGGAACTCAGACTCAAGCTCAAGGTACTGGCCGGCCTGGAGAAGACGACCAGAAGGTACCAACCTCCAGGAGCTCGGCACCACAACCGACCTCAAGGTATCGAGGTCGTATGACGTGAGGTCATGGTAGACCTCAAGATGGGGTCAAGACTGGCCTCAGGTAAGCCACAAGAAGTAGGTTAGGAGGTCGGGGTTACGGCCAAGGGACCTAAGGGTTGTACAGTAAGGGGAAAAGAATCTAAATAAGTAGGAATAATCACTTTCTCAAAGATACTTGCCTAGAAAAAAACGTGGTAAGTTAGAAATTGTGATCTAGTTAGATCTCTTTCCTAGCAAAAACTCTCTTGGCAACCAAGACAGCCACCGCAGGCCTGGGTATCAGGTTCTTCTTCATTATATCGCATTTTATCCATAAATTATATATCCTCGTGGACAGTTATTTGAGCAAGTTCTGACTTGAGCGTCAGAGGTTTTTCTGCTAGGACTCTCTCCCTGCATATTATACAGGTCATCGGAGTTCAAAGACGAAGGAAGTTCACGGCGTAGATGGCTCAACCCGGTTCGTGACAAAAGTGATGCAACAAATTGGCGCTGTCTATGAGAAGAAGTAGAGATGATACTTTCATTAGTGAATCTTATTTAAAGTAAATGTAGTATTTATTTCGGTTTTATTAATTTTAATTGTAACTATTTTAATCTTTTTAAATGCAAGATTTAAAACCGAGTTATAGTTATTTTATTTTATTTATATAATTACTCTATTTTTTTATATTACAGTTACAATAAATAATAGAACAATTGATGTAACACATATTATCATAAAAGAACATTTATACTATATATACTATTAACATGTAAACTTAAATCATATTATGCTATTATTTTAGTGAATAATTTAAACAAAAAAAAAAAAATCTATTATGATTATATATTTTTCACTTAACGAATAATCTTTTTCCACATAAATTTGGCATTTTGTATGTTAGAGAAGAACTATTTTTTATTCAATCATTCTTAAACATATGTATGTTCACTAAATTGTTTTTTTATTTTTTCGGAACGATAGAGAATATTATATAACAAAATACATAAATGTGCAAAGATACAATCCCTAGTTGAATAATACAACCAAAAGCTGAATAAATTGGGAGGACAGGTCTGACGACCGCCTAGAAACCCGACACTAGCAAGGCCAGAAATTTAAAACAAGACTCACGAGACAACAAACACAACAAGCACTAAGAGAAAAATACAAAGCTCCCAACAAGAGAATAGAGACAGGAGCTGATCCCAAAAGTATAATACCGACTCTCACTATGGCTCACAGAGGCCAACGGCCCAAACCAAAAAAATGATACCTAAAGACAACCAAAGAAAACTAACAAACACACTTAGAAATAACCAAAAATAACTAAATAAAAACTAGCCCTTCCTCAGCAACTCGACCAAGCAAAACCAGCGGACAAAGACGACCCCATAACGAAATTCGAAGCCCCGAAACCATCACTCCACTGCCGAACCGCCTAGATGAAATGGAATCCAAGCTCCAAACCTAACCAAGAGCCGACCCGCCCTCCAACCGAAAAACACCCACACCGCCCCCCCCACAACACCACCGCCCCAAACCTACCACTAGCCAAAATCGGCAACGGTGGTTCTCCCCCGGACCCAACACCAGAGAGACAGGGGAAAAGAGAGCAAGAAAGGCATCAAGCCCCGGCAGCAACGACATTCCGGCGAAACCAAGATGTGCAGCCCCACAGCCACATCGACTCGAAAGTCGCGAGCCGCCGGAGCCAAACTCGACCCCATCCCACCACACCAGACCCCGCCCGACTCCACCGCAACAGCAACGAAGCCGACGATCGGAAACTCGTGCCGAAACTGGAACCTGTGGAAGAAGGCGAATCCGACCGCTACAGATCCGCCAGCATCTGAGCGCGAAGGCAAGAGAGGTGCGGCAACGGGATAAATGTCGAGCGGTCAGGGGCCGACCACCGGCAAAGCGCAACAGCCGCTGAGGAAGGCGGATTGAAAGCAACGAAAGTTTCTGCAAGAGGAATTAGGGATTTTGAGGCGACGAGAGTTTTTCTTTTTAAAATTAGATTGTCACTAAATTGTTCCTCTTTAATTTTTTAATACTATAACCCAAAATCTCTATAGTAAACAATATGATATTTAGAAATTAGAGACGATACTTTAATTAGTGATTATATTTAAAGTAAATGTAATGTTTATTTCTGTTAATTGATTTTAATTGTAACTATTTTCTAATCTTTTGAAATATAAGATTTAAAATCTAATTTTAGTTATTTTATTTTATATTTATAATTATTCTATTTTTATGTATATAAATAGTAGATTATTTAGGTAACACATGTTATCATAAAATAACATTTATATTGTACATATTATTAACAAGTAAACTTAAATCATATTGAAATTATGCATATTGTTTTAGTGAATAATTAAAGTAAAATGTTTCTATTAAGATTATATATTTCCACTTACCGAATAACTTTTTTCCACGTAAATTTGACATTTTGTATGTTGGATTTATTTTTTATTCAATCATTCTTAAACAGCATTTCACTAAATTGTTCCTCTTTAATTATCATAATACTGTAACCAAAAATCTCTATAGTAAACAATTGATATGTGGAAATTAGAAATGATACTTTCAATGGTGAATTATATATTTTACAATTATGAAATAATATATATATTTTTTAAAAAATCTTAAATAAATTTTTTCTTACATTTAAAAACTACCTTTAAAATAATCAAACCGAATCCTAACGTCATATGTAGATTAATTCTTAATAATATAATTATAAATAAATTACTTATTTAAAATCTATAAATTTGTGTAGATAATCTTTTTCTATGTGTAAAAATTTAAAGATATAATTCAGTATAAAAAATAAAAGATAATGAATAAAAGTCTATTAGGAAATAAAGGTTTCAAAACTTAATAAATATTGTTAGTGGTAACTTCCTAACATTAATAAGAAAATAACATTAATAACCTTAAAACTTATCTTTAGTGAAGGTATTTTTGGCTATTCAAAAGTTTGAAAAACTACTCTTAATAGATTATAGATTAGAGGAGTTTACAACCATATAATAAGCGGGGCTGAATAATCTCTGTTGTGCAGTCAAACTCTGCAGAATAAGAGAATTGCCTCTAACAGATAATCAAGCTGAATCAGTTAAAGGGTAGTGCTCATAACAGATTAACCTTTTCCAGGTAAAATAATTAAATAAAAGGCTATATGAATAAAGATCACTCAACTCTGAATTCTCCCATTGGGAACCCTAATTCTACCGTTGGGAACACCAATTATCTCGGGTGAGATCCTCAATTCACCACTGTATTACCATCATTCTCACCTTTGTAATAGTATACGAGCTCGCATTATGGCATCTTCTAGCAAAACGGGAACGGAGCAGAGTGTCGAGGAAGATTTGGAGCATCAACTAAAAAACTTTTCATTGTCTGAAGCGGAAAACTCGATTGTTGATATTGGGCAGGAAGACATCAAAATAAGCAAGGATGAGTGCCAAAGAAGCTTATTTGGCAAGATAGTGGGGGATAGAACAACGAGTTTGTTCGGGATTCGGAGAACCATGGGCAACATATGGAAGATCCTGGGAGCAATTGAAGTCAGGGAACTGGGTAATAATTTCTTCCAATTTATTTTTGAGAAGAAAGAGGATCTTCAAAAAGTGGCTTCAGGTACCAGCTGGATTTATGACAACCAGTACTTGATACTGAGAGAATGGCAACCGAATATCCGATGCTCGCACCCATGCTTTGACATCCTTCATCTATGGGTGAACATCTATAATGTCCCATTTCACTGGCAATCTGCTGAGGTGGGTCTCAAGATAGGGAAACTTTTCCATGGAGCTAAGAATGTCACCATTACCAAAGCAGGGGATATTGGCGGGGGTAGAATTATTCGTATTCTGGCAGCTATAAATGTTAAAGAACCTCTTTTGAGGTGTGCCAATGTTAGGCTGGGAGACCAGATCATCAAAGTTAACTTCAAATACGAGAAGCTAGTGAATTTGTGCTACTATTGTGGCACCTTGGGCCATCTTGACAGGGATTGCAAAAAAAGAATTGAAGATATTACCAGGAACGCACTGCAAGATGGACAGTTTGGAGAATGGTTAAAAGTGAGTGAGGGCCAGCATAATTTTACTTATCACAACAGCCAATCAACATCAATGGGCTCCCAAAGCACTGGTCAGAATACTAAGGTCCATTCCTCAGGGCCAAAACCATTTGATCTCTCACAGGACAATCCCACAACTGTAATCAGGGGCGAAAGCACATTGAGGGCCGGAGTGGCGCCGGCCCTCCCAAAAAAAAAAAATTTATTGAACTAGGTTTAGGGGGGTATTGCTGGAAATGGAAGGGCACCCTTTGAGCGCCCTTCCGATGCCGCCGGAGGCCCGGAAGAAGATGAATCTGGCAGGGGCGCAGCAGCCGTGATTCTTAGCCAAGGAAGAAGATGAATCAGGCACAGGGACGGACTTTTTTTTTCTTGCTACTTTTAATACGTTTTTTTTAGTTATAGCCCAGCCCAGGCTACTTAGCCCAATAAAAATAAATTAATAACAAGGGCCAAGCCCAAATATAGAATCTAACATATTACAGACTAACAGACTAATTCCTAATTTGCAAAAAAATAAAAAATCCTAATTCCTAAATCCTCAGGGCCGGACAAGAATTTGATGCAATTGAAGAAGCTCAACTCTGTCCTTTTCCTCGTTCGTACAACGACAAGTACTATGCCGATGTCCTCGCCTCCGGTGAATTTACCAAATTAGGTATGTTTTTTTCGTTTCTGGGTTCGTTCCCTTTCTGTAGATTTTCTCGTTTCTGCTTGGATTTTTGTTGTTGTTATGAGGCCTCTTGCGTTTGGTTATATGGATAAGGTCATGTTTACATGTGTTTTGAGTGGAATTGATGTCTAAATATTGCGTTTGCTTAAATGTATACGATCCGGTTTACATTTGTTTGTAGTGGAAATTGAGGTCAAAATCTTGCATTTGCTTTCATGGATATGTCTACATGTGTTTTGAGTGGTAATTGATGTCAAAATCTTGTACTTGTTTATATGTGGATTGAGTGGCAATTGATGTCAAATGGTAGAAATTGAGCTGATGTCAAATGTGTTTTTTTATTTATTTATTTTTTTTCTGGATTTTGAGCAATTGGGTGTTTTTGCTTCAAATTGTGATTAGTCTGTATACTCAAATGCACCAATTCATCAGCCATGATCCCTCTGCAGCAAGCCAGCAATTGGGTGTTTTAATGTTTGTGTATTTATTTGTAAAATTTTAACCTAATTTGTTAAAAAATTGATAATTTAATATATGAATTTAGTATAGGTATGAATTATTATTTTAATTTATAATGGCATGACCGTATGAGTTGTTATTTTATTGAGCTTGATAGTAATTAGTCACTTTAGTTTTTATTTTGAATTGTTATTCTATATAGTAAATTGTAGTTGTAATATTTTTAATTATTGATTTGTTTTACTATTTTTAGGTATTTGAATTTTGACAATGGATAAGTTTGTATCCAAATGGAAGAAGCCGGTTTCATCTTCATCAAGTAATGTGGATTTGAATGATAAAGATAGTGGCAAAAGACAACGAGTAGAAGTGGAATTGACGGAAGATGACATTGTTGGTGATCCGGGATTGCGAAAACCTATTGATGATTATCCTTTTGCTATTAGAGATGAATTGAGGAGACGATACTTGGCAAAAGGTCCCTTTCAACCACATGATCACAATTTTCAGAAGTCTAATTTTGGTAAGAATATGAGATCATTTCAAAAGGCATGGTTTACGCAATATGATTGGCTCGAATATAGTATTCAGAAGGATGCCGCTTTTTGTCAAGTATGTTATTTGTTTAAAAGGATTAATACTCGTTGTGGAGATGATGCTTTTACTGGTGTTGGTTTTAAAAATTGGAAGAATGCTTTAAATAAATTCAAGGAGCATGAAGGGGGTTTTAACAGTCCACATCGTAATGCTATGGTTCAGTGTTCGTCATTTAGAGACCAAAGGCATAATGTGGATTATGTGTTATCACAAAAGGGCACTCAAATGGAGATTGACTACCGCGTTCGACTAACGACGGTTGTGAAAGTTGTTCGATTGCTTTTAGGGGAAGGTTTGCCATTTCGTGGACATGATGAGTCAAAAGATTCAATACGAAAAGGTCATTTTCTTGAAATTTTGGATTGGTATTGTGAGGAGAAGGAAGAAGTGAAGAAGGTCATGAACTTGAATGCTCCCGGGAATAATCAGTTGACTTCTTCAAAAATTCAGAAAGAAATCATCAATGCTTGTGCTACAGAGGTGAGGAAAGTCATTATTAATGAAATTGGAGAAAAGTTCTTTTCTATTTTGATCGATGAAGCTCGAGATAGTTCAATAAGGGAGCAAATGGCCGTCGTCGTGAGATTCGTGAACGATCGGGGAGAAGTGATCGAGCGATTTTTGGGAGTGGTCCACGTTAGTGACACCTCGGCACACTCTCTAAAAGGTGCAATTGATGAATTTTTTGCAAGAAATGGATTGTCACTTTCTAGGCTTCGAGGTCAAGGTTACAACGGAGTTTCCAACATGCAAGGTGAATTCAATGGTCTTAAAACTCTTATTTTACAAGAACATAAACACGCATACTATGTTCATTGTTTTGCTCACCAACTTCAATTAATGGTTGTAGCAACTTCAAAAGAGAACACGTGTGTGAGTGATTTTATGGATTATCTTGCAAGGATTGAGAATCTTGTTGGAGCTTCATGTAAAAGAATGGATGCTATTCGACAAAAGCATTATGATGACCTTGTACAACGTATTCAAAGTGGTGCGATTTCTACGGGGACCGACTTGAATCAAGAAACAAGTTTAGCTCGACCGGGTGCTATGCGTTGGGGATCTCACTATAGGACAATCAAGCGGATGTTGGATATGTGGGATGCGGTACAAGACGTTCTTGATACTATTGAGAGTGAAGCCACAGATTTCCAAAGTCGAGGCGTTGCTAGAGGTTTGATTGCTAAATCAACAACTTTTGAATTTGTATTCATTTCTTATTTGTTGGTGACAATATTGGCAAAAACAAGCGTACTTTCGGCGGCCTTACAAGAAAAAAGTCAAAATATTGGTAAAGCCTTCGTTTTGATTAGAACGTTGAAGGAAGATTTGGGGAAGTTTAGGGAGGATGGTTGGGAGGAATTTCTTGAAACCGTCAAGGAATTTTGTTCTCAAAAAGGCATTTTGGTGCCTAATATGGAAGATCATTTACCGGGTCGGCCTAGATCTAAAAGACGAGTGGATGACCAACCAAAGACTTATTTGCACTTTTTTCGACGAGACATCTTTCTTCCGGTAACTATTTTTCTTTAATTTCATATTAACATTTTTTTATGTTCATTATAGTGTTAATAATTAGCTTATTTTTCTCAATTTAATAGGTTGTTGATCTTATCTTACAAGAGATGGCTAATCGTTTTGGAGAGTTGAGTACGGAACTTATTTCGTGCATAGTCTGTCTTGATCCTAGAGATTCTTTCGCTAGCTTTGATCGTGAAAGACTGCTTCGTCTCGCTCAATTATATCCAAATGATTTTGATGATGAGTTCAAACTGAAAGAAGAATTGAATCACTACATCTTGATAGTCACAATACATGAGCGTGCATTTTTCTCTGATCTTCAAAGTATTGGAAACCTTGCAAAAAGAATGGTTGAGAGAAAGTGGCACACTGCTCTTAAGTTAGTTTATCGGCTCATTGAGTTGGCACTAGTTTTGCCCGTCGCAACTGCTACTGTTGAAAGAGCTTTCTCCTCGATGAAGATTATCAAGAATGATTTGCGCAACAAAATGGGAGAGGATTTTTTGACGGATAGCTTGGTGTGCTGCATTGAAAAGGAAATCTTTATCAAAATTGAAAATGAAGTCATTTTGCAGAGATTTCAGAACATGGCGTCCCGAAGATTTCAGTTACCGCGTGCCGATCTTATTAGTCCCCCCTTGGTTGGAAGCTAGATTGTATTTTTATTTTGTATAATATTATTTGAACGATAATTTAAATAGTTTGCAATTATTTTTGTGTTTGTGTTTGGTTTTGTCGTGAAAATTTTTTTTTAAAGACAAATTGGGCCCTCCCCGTGCTGGGATCCTGGTTTCGCCACTGATTGTAATGGCCTTAGTCACTTCCAAACTAATAGAGGTCCCAATCCAATCCCACACAGAGATGGTTGCAGACACTAACTCTTCAGAGGCAATTAAAACTCTCCAATTAAAGCCTCAGTTGTCTCCTCAACTATCTTCAAATTCTTCCACAAAGCAAAAAGGGAAAGAGATTGTGATTGTCAACCCAGCCTTACCTGCCATTCAAGAAGATGACCTCATAACCACTATGATAGTGGACACAGACAAGGTTGAAAAGGGGAATCCCAAAGCTGTGCCACCACTTAAGACATGGAGAAGAGCATCTGCAAACAAAGGAAGACTTCATAGCTCCCCTTCAGGCAAAAAAAGATACTTCTCTGAACCAGGCACAGAAAAGGAATAGACAAGATGTGGCAGAGCTATCACACATCAATGATAGCCCCACAGGTAAGAAACTGAAACTTCAATCTGAGAAGCTTATGTCGGCCGACCTTAAGGGGCCAACAAGTGACCAATGAGAGTGCTGGTGTGGAATTGTAGAGGTTTGGGTGGACCCTCTACAATTCCCCAGCTCAAGGAGTCCCTGAGGACCCACTGCCCAGATTTCACTTTTATTTCAGAAACTAAGAAGTCTTTTGAATTTGTAAATACTGTTTGTACTGCTTTGAGAGTTGATAACAGATGGAAAGTTGTTAAACCTGTGGGTATAGCAAGAGGGTTGCTTTTGTTATGGGGTAAAGATATTGCAATTCATCAGATTATTAGCCATAATTTTTGTATGGAAGTGGAATTTTCTTATGTGCACCACTCTGATCCAATGTGGATCACATTTGTTTATATGAGCTCTATTAAAAGTACCAGGTTGCTTCAATGGGAATTGCTAAAAGATATGAGTGTCAAGTGGGGTCAGACCTGGCTCTGTGCAGGTGACTGGAATGATATATGCACTGCTGAAGAAAAGAAAGGGGGTACTCTCAGACCTTCTCATAGCTTTGATGGTTTCAATTCCTTTATATCTGATATGAGAATGATGGAAATCAGTTGGAAAGGCTACAACTTCACATGGGCAAATAATAGAGAAGGTGAAGGATGGGTGGAAGAAAAGCTGGATAGGGCATTCTGTTCTATGGATTGGCTCAGTAAGCACCCTCAGTCTACAGTGGAAAACATCTGGAGGAGTTCCTCAGACCATGGAATGCTCTTCATTAATTCAGACACTTCCTTTCACAAAAAGAAGAGCAGATTTTGTTTTGACAAGAGATGGCTGACCAAAGAAGGGGTATCTGAAGTGGTATCCAATGCTTGGGCTCAGGGGGTTGATGGGACTCCTATGTTCAGAGTTAAAGAGAAGATTAAGGCCACCAGAATAGCACTGTTAAAATGGAGCAAAACCCATCACTCTGAATCTCAAGAGATAATCAAATCCATTACAGCAGCTATGAAAGTTCTTAAACAAACTGATGGGGACAGAGATTGGGAATTGTGGAACAGGCTTAATGCAGAGCTGAATGAGGCTTATCACAGAGAAGAGCTTTTCTGGAAGCAGAAGTCCAGGATCATGTGGCTTAGAGTAGGAGATAAAGACTCAAAATTTTTCCATGCTTTTACTGCTCAAAGGAGGAAGATGAATGCAATAACTAGACTTATGGATGAAAATGGGCATATTGTGAAAGATCAAGCCAGTATTCAGCAATGTGTATGCAGATCTTATGACAACCTTTACTCCTCTGATGGCCCAGCTGGCAACACTGAAATTTTACACAACATCCCTCACTC